TCTTTTATATTGGCATATAATGGAAAAGTTGGATAGATCTCCCACATTGATATGCCAGTCTTCCACCTCCAGCTCCATTTGTAACACTGCTTCTTGTCATTATATAAATATGGTTGGGAGGTGTAAAAAGATGTGATGGGGGGCATTGTGAAGTCTTCCATTGTTCAAGAATTCTGAAAGTGTGTTAAGTCACATTGGTTACTTTTCAGTAAGTACTAAAAACTGGAAAATAATTAGATACCTGTAAAAAGAACAAGAAAAATGACGGGTCACATTTTAAAAAAACTTGAAGGGAAAAGAATGTGGATAAAAAATGGCAATGGAAGATGGTTTGGAGTTTTTCTTTCCTGATTTCCATTGCATTTCTTTTAAAGGACATGCTTTAATAATTCTTATTTAGGTACTTATTTATAAATTTCATATATTTTCAATCAGTCCCCCCCTATACCTTTTAGTTAGTTAGTTAGTTAGTTAGTTAGTTAGTTAGTTGGTTAGTTAGTTTATCTGAATGCTGTTTCAGCCTCAAGTAAAACCTGTTGGTGCTTCACAAAGTTAATGGGAGCCATTAAAACATTTTTAATTAGCTAAATTCAAAAAAAAATATTTACAGGCATTTTTTAAAAGGATAAGATTTTTTTCCACAGAAAACAAGGAAATTATGAAAAGCACTTGATATCAGTCATATTACCAAAATGTTGAAGGAAAGACCCTTCTATACAAAACAACTACCAAATAAAATGCAAGAAATACACAACAAATAACAATAAGGAACACCATAAAACATAATAAAATAAAATAAAAATACGATAAAATGGAATAAAAACAAAGATAAAAACATAGCAGTAGGTTGGATGTTTAAGTATTAATGTACTATTTTATCATATTGTTATAAGGTCCGAGAAGACCTGTCTCAATAGTCAGTTTTTTATAGCTTTTTAAAGATTCCCAATGAGGGGGCCGGTGGATCTCAGGCGGGAGACTGTTCCATAGTTGCAGGACAACTGCTGAGAAGGCCTGGTTTCTGGTAGTTACTTTACAGACCTCTCTCGGGGTTAGAACTTTCAGCCACCCTGCTTGCAACGATCTCACCAGATGGGCAGATCTAATCAGAAGGAGGTGCTCTGCCAGGTATCGAGGTCCTAAACCATTTAGGGCCTTGTAGGTTAGCAGCATCACCATTAAGCTGGTACAGAAGCGAACAGATAACCAGTGTATTTCCTGACCCCACTCAGCAACTTTGACACCGAATTCTGGACCTGTTGAAGTCTCTGTAACAGCCCCAAGGGCAGCCCCATATAGAGAGCATTGTAGTACTCTAATCTCAAGACTACCACTGCATGAACTAGCGTGGTGAGGGACCCAGTATCAACGTAGGGCTACAACTGGCCAATCCACCTTAGATGGAAATAGGCGGAGCAGACCACCAGCACTGTCTGGGATTCCATAGACAGTGCCAGGTCCAGGAGTATGCCCAAGCTGCACACCTCATTCCTCATGGAAAGAGTACCCCCCCAAAGGAGAGAGAGACACCCAGACTGCAGACACTAGAGGGCCCCACTCGCAGGATTTCCATCTTGTCCA